AATTGTACCCCACATCTTAAAAAAAAAAAACTTGCTTCAAGTTTGGACCTATTACTACTAATCAAAAGGTAATTATGATAATAAATTGAATTCATTAAAAAAAAGACTGGGCTTTGTGGCTCAGTATGTAATCCCAGCACTTTGGGAGGCTGAGGCAAGTGAATTGCCTGAGCCTGCTGGTTCGGGACCAGCCTGGGCAACTTGGTGAGACCTCATCTGTACATAAATTAAAAATTTGCTGGGTGTGGTAGCGTACCTGTAGTTCCAGCTACTTGGAAGGCTGAGGTGGAATGATCGCTGGCGCCCAGCATGTTGATGCTGGGGTGGCTGTGAGAGTGCCACGGCACTCCAGACTCCAACTCAAACAAAACAAAAAACTGGTCACAGCTGGACATTTGTCTTAGTTGAGCATGGTGTGAACAGCTAGCCTCCTGTGAGTAGCTGAAGTGTGACTGCTGTGATTGGCTGAGACTTAGCTATTGTTAGGTTTCCAGTTTAACTTTTAAGATAGGTTGCAGTTCCTACATGACAACTCAAATATGAAGACATGGAGGTTTTCTCAGGACAGATTTTAGTTAGATTAACACCCTTATATAAAATAGGATAGTATTTGCTGTAACCTACATATGTCATCCTATACTTTAAATTATCTCTAGATTTCTTGTAATGCTTAATGCAATGTAAATGCTGTGTTAATAATAATTATGTTCTATTGTTTTTAAATTTGTATTACTTTTTATTGTTGTATTGTTATTTTATCATGTTTTCACCAAATACTTTTGATCCACAGTTGGTTAAATGTATGATTTGGAATCCATGAATTTAGAGAGCTATTTCCTCTTTTTATTTTGTCCTTTATAAACTCTTATCATCTGATAAATGTACGTGGAGATATCCAGAGGCTACATGATGTGTTATGTTATGATTGAATGCAGAAATAACAATTGTGCTGCCATAAAAGCCAGATATTAAAGACAATTATAAAAATGTAAAATAATGCCATTCTTCTCACTAAATAACTTTTGTTGATGGATATACTGTTATTTTAAATCATTTAATTTCTAATTCAGTAAACATTAATAGATATAACCCACGTAAACAAGAACTCAACAGTTTTAAAGAGTTTAAAGAATTCTTGAAAGCAAAATGTTTAAGAACTGCTGCTTCAAGAAATCCTAGTTCATGGAAAATGGTATTTTATTTTATTTTTTTATTTTTGAGTTGGAGTCTCACTCCATCACCCAGGCTGGAGTGCAGTGGCATTCTCACGGCCATCCCAGCATCAACCTGCTGGGCTCTGGTGATCCTTCCTCCTCAGCTTTCCAAGTAGCCAGAACTACAGGCGCTACCATGCCTGGCTAATTTTTCGATTATTGTAGAGATAAGGTCTGCACCAAGTTGCCCAGGCTAGTCTTGAACCCATGGGCTCAGGTAATCATCTCACTTTGGCCTCCCAAAGTGCTAGGATTACAGGTTTGAGCCACCGCACCTGGCTTGAAAATGGTATTTTAAAAATCACAGTCTAGGAACAAGAGATGCTCTTGGTTATGAGTTTGGCTGTTTTTAAGTCATTTTCAACAAAATGATATATATTTTTACAGATAAAATACATTATGAGTTTATACTTATTCTTCCTGTTCAAAATTCAGGACTAGAGTTTTTGCTTAAACTCATACGATTTATATATATGTCTTTTTTTCATACTCAAAATACCAGTTCTTTACAGTACTAACATAATACTTATTTTCAGTTTCAGAAAACAATACCACTACTACCATGACCACTATCAACAATATGATTAAACAGTTAAAGGACTTTTTGGGATAATTTATTGTCTTTGAGTTTTATCTCTCCATGGATGTATGGTAACGTGATGGTTTAAAGTTACAACGGACCCTTGAACAGCACAGGTTTAAACTTTGAGAGTCCACTTACACATAGATTTTCTTCTAACATTGCCATTCCTGAGATAGCAAGACCAACCCTTCCTCTTCTCCTTAATATAATTTTCTTAATAACAATTTTTCTCTCTAGCTTACTCTATTGTAAGACTGTAATACATACAACATTAACAGATGTGTGAATATACGTTATCAGCAAGGCTTCTGGTCAACAGTAGGCTATTAGTAGTTACTGTTTTTGGGGAGTTAAAAGTTATACACAGGCTGGGTGTGGTGGTACACATCTGTAATCCCAGCACTTTGGGAGGCCTAGGCAGGAGGATCACTTGAGGCCAACAGTTGGAGACCAGCCTGGATAACAAAACAAGAACTTGTCTCAAATTAAAAGTCTGAATAAATAAATAAGCCAGGCATGGTGGCACAAGCCTGTAGTATTAGCTTCTTGGGAGGCTAAGGCGGGAAGATTGCTTGAACCCAGAAGTTTGAGGCTGCAGTGAGCTGTGATTGTGCCACTGCACTCCAGCCTGGGTGACAGAGTGAGACACTGTCTCTCAAAGTTTTATGCCAATTTTCAACTGTGTATGGGGGGAAGGAGTAGGGTTGGCACTTGTTTTCTTTTTTTTTTTTTGAGTTGGAGTCTCACTCTGTCACCCAGACTGGAGTGCAGTGGCCACTCCCGGCCACCGCAGCCTCGACCTGCTGGGCTCCGGCGATCCTTCTGCATCAGCCTTCCGAGTAGCCAGAATTACAGGCGCACGCTACCACACCCGGCTAATTTTTTGATTTATTGTACAGATGAGGTCTCGCCTGCCCAGGCGGGTCTCGAACCCGCGGACTCAGGCAATCCACTCACCTCAGCCTCCCAAAGGCGCGGGATTACAGGCTGAGCCACCGAACCCGGCTTGGGTTGGCACTTCTAACCTCCAAGTTTTTCCAAGGGTGTGTGCCTTTGAGATTATGTCACTAAGTAGAGCAGTTAAATCTGTGTGGTTTTACTTGATTTTTAGGGACTGCTTTTTGTAAATTTAATTTTGTTTTACAGTGATATTGTTCAAATAAAAGACTTTAGACAGATTAAATTTAGCAGAGTTTAATTGAGCAAAGAACAATTTGCAAATTGAGCATCCCTCGGAACCAGAAGTTCGAAGAGCTCTGCTCCACAAAGTGAGTTGGCAGTATTTATGGACAGAAAATGTAAGTGAGGTAGAGAAACAGTGTGATTGGAGGCTACAGCTTAGCATTTGCCTTGAACACGATTTGATCAGTTGGCTAACTGAAGCCTGGCTACTATGATTGGCCGAGACTCAGATATTTGTTACAAAAGTACACTCCTAAGTTAGAATTTCAGTTAGTTTGCATACTAAGCTGGATTGCTGTTCATTATGTAACGACTCAAAGTAGGTATCCTCAAACCAAATTTAGCTTAACAATATGAAATATTTATTTGATTCTAAAGTCAAATTTATGAAAGAAGATATTTTCAGAGATGTCTATCTTCGATCCCTGTCTCCCCATCCTATTTTTTTACTCTCCCATAGGTAACATTAAAACAATTAATTGCTTTTCTTTCCATTATTTAAAATTTAAGCAAATATAAATATATATTTACTATTATTACCATCTTTCCCTTTCTGCATAAAAGGTAGCATACTATATAAACTTCTCTCTCTTTTTTTCCCCCACCTAATAATATATTCTGGATATACTCCACAGTTGTGTATAAAGTTATTCCTTATACTTTTCATGACTGCATAAACACTCCATTGCTTTGTTGCGTGAAACAAATTTTATGGGCGGTTATTGTTTTGGATTAGCCTTATGCACCAGGAGACAAGATCAAACCAGAATGGAGTTATTTGTGCTAAGTACCATGTAATCAAACTGAACTTTGAAATGGACCAGTTTTCCATAAAACTGGAGATTCCAGTCAACCTGAGTCAGCAAAATAAGGGAGTCCCTTCTGCTTTAACCTTAAGAAGAAATTAACTTTGAAATGACCAATCTTTTTGTTGTTTCTTCTTTCTTCAGCCATTTTCTGCCTATAAAGCCAACTTCCTCTGCTCAGTTCTTCAGAACACTCATTCTACTTTATAGATCAAGGTGTTGCCCAATTCTAGAATCGCAAATAAAAGCCAATTAAGATCTTCAAACTAATTTGTTACAATTCTGTCTTTTTTAAAATTTTTGAGTCGGAGTCTCACTCTGTCACCCAGGCTGGAGTGCAATGGCACGCTCATGCTGGGCTCAGGTGATTTTTCCTCCTCAGTCTTCCAAGTAGCTGGAACCACAGGCATGTGCCATCACGTCTGGCTAATTTTTTGATTGATTGTAGAGACGAGGGCTTACCACGTTGCTCACGCTGATCTCGAACCCCTAAGCTCAGGCCTTTCTCTAGCCTCTGCCTCCCAAAGTGCAGGGATTACAGGCTTGAACCACTGCGCCTGGCCGGATTTTGTCTTTTGACAGCGGTACCATAATTTTTTTAGCCAGTCCTTTATTAAAGACTTTTGGGGTAATTTCTATTATTTTGCTATTATAAATCGTGCTGCAGTGAATAGTCGTGCCTACCCTTTCATATTTTTACTACATATTGCGGGGTTAAAGATATGTAATTCTGCTAGTATCAAGCTACTCTTTTTACTTCTGCTGTACAGATGGAGGGACAGACTGAGGCAGCCACTCAAAGTCGCTTTACCGGTAACAGCTGGGATTTGAACTTCCCAGCTGTAACTATCTTCACAGACTCTCTAGGCTACGGTTAGAAGAATTTCAAGGTGGGAAAGGCAAGCAAAGAGTTTTGCATCTGGACATCATATACCCTGAAACGCACACGCTCATCTTTCCTATTCCCGGTAGGCAAGTTCTTCCTTATCAAAACCTCCAGTGCTCTGATCTCGCATCCTTTCTCCTGGCCTGTCACTTCCCCTACTCATGCCCAAACTAAAGTCCTTCCCACCTTCACCCGCTTTTAATCTGGGCTCAGGAAGCCGTGCGGGCGGGGGAGCGGGTGGGTCAGAGGGTTCTGCGCATGCTCGGACTCTGCTCTCCTGGCGAGGAAGTGGGGGCCTCGGCAGAGGGAGGATCGACTCGTGACGTCATAGCCGTGCGCCGGTCCCAGGCGTCCTCGCAAGGTCGCTTTGCAAAACGGGAGCGCGCTTAAGTGACCAGCCCTGAGTTTGTGGGCGCGCCGGGTCCTTCTGCTTTGGGACCAGCGGCGACATGTCGGGGTACACGCCAGATGAGAAACTGCGGCTGCAGCAGCTGCGAGAGCTGAGAAGGCGATGGCTGAAGGACCAGGAGCTGAGCCCTCGGGAGCCGGTGCTGCCCCCTCAGAGGATGTGGCCTATGGAGAAATTCTGGAATAAATTCTTGCAAAATCCGAGCCCTTGGAGGAACATGGTGAGTGATGGCGCTCCTCGGTCCCGTACACACACACCACTCGGCCGCCAACCCGGCCCTTGCATGTCCGCTCATTGCTGCCACACCAGGGATTGACACCGCTCTGTGCCTTGCGCCGAGTCCTGGCCCTTGAGTGCGGAGTTCAGGAACATGTATGACTCTGGGAGAATCACGCCTTTGTGCTGTCAAGTGTGAGAAGGAGGCGAATCTTTACTTAGGTTTTACAGGACACTGCATGTTTTTCCTTCGATTGTGGAAATAGTTCCTCAGAATAGCAGCCAGGTCCTCGCTGGAGTTAAAATTATGTGATTTTAGCCCTTGCGGACACTTGTCTAACTTTTAAGATTGAGGTTCTAGAGACCAACTAACACTGCACCCAGCTACTAGAGGACACTGAGTCCCGAGCTGGTAGTACAGCCCCATGAGACCACCATCAAAGATAGGGTCTTGTTGGTATTTTAAAAAATGACATTCCTGGACTTTGAAGAAAACCACTCATTTAAGGACTGTATTTTCTCTGGGTATTTTCTCGAGGCCTTTTCATTATATCGCACTGATTAAGGCTGTTAAACACGTCTCAGAAGTGCTTTCAGTTACTGACATTGGTAAATGATTACTTAATACTTTTAGGTAACACTTGGGTGCTTGCTATCTGGCTGATACTTTGCTGAGGGTTTTACATGTGTCACTTCATTTCCTTACTCATTTGAGGTAGAAATTTAAGGTAGAAATGTATCCACTTTCTTACTGTGGTACAAAGTATAGTGCAACAGAATTAGTGCAAATTTTTTGGGAAAGTGGTTTTAGATATTTATGGTGGTAAAATTAAACTCTTTAACTCAACCCTTTGAATCCCTGACATTGTCTGTTGGTTTGGGCAGCCACTGGTTGAAAGTTGACATCGTACCCATCAATGATCTAAGAAAGTAAATAATCATTTGTTGAAATTCATCTTACTTTGTTTTTTCTTCTATAATCCTATCTCTTATAATATTTAAGTTATAGATAGTATACCAGAAGTCATCTCAGAGTGAGCGTGAAACATCACATCTCAGTATGTAAAACATTCTTTTTCTAGTATTGGTGTGCTCAAGGCTGTCTGCCTTACACCTACAATAATGTAAGTGGTGTTGATTGTGGGTATCTGAAATTGTAAAATTAGAGATGACTTTATGTGAAAAATTGAATAAGTTTGATTTCTCTGGTTAAATTCATTGAAATTATTCTTTCATTACTTTTGCTATGTTTTATCATTAACACACTTATAAGGATATTTTTTGAAGTCTTGTATAAAGAAAACCAAAATGTATAAATGCCTTAATACAGTCTTGCAAAATGTTACTTACCTTAAACCTTGTTTGGTCTGCACTTTGTAGGTATCTTCTAGCAGGCCCTACATTTAGTAAAAAATATTTGAGTAAATGAGGTTAGGCAAAGACTATAAGAAAATACGTACCACTTAGAGATTTGTAAAATAATCATGACATTGTTATATGATACTCTTTTTTTCTACCACAAACATAAAAAATGAGATGTGTTTATTCTTTGTATGTGTTTTTCCCCCTAGATGTATAAGGTATACCGAAGCAGTATTTTTGCTTTTACTCATATGCTTATACCTGTCTGGATTATTCATTATTATATCAAGTATCATGTGAATGTAAGTATGGTTTAAGTATGTACTTTTCAGAATTTCTTTTTAATATTGTCCAAGATTATTTTCAGTTTGGGTATGCCTTTCCTTGACTCATTGGAAATAATCTGCCACTTATAAATTTTGAAGTACTTTGAATCCTTTTAGGTTAGGTTTAATGGCAATTAAGTAATTAAGTATGGTTTTTCAAAAAAAATTCTCTTTATATTAGTTTATAACTTAAGATGCATTTCCTCATAGAAATAGTTTAAATGATCACAATGTAGCTGACCTAATAATACTAGTGTAAACTTGAGGTCCTGAGTAGAAAAGGAGAAAATAATTTCTGCTTCTTTTTAAGCATAGATCTGGTATAAAATAAAATTAGAAATAGACAAAGGTGATCTTTATCATCACCCCATTTCTCTTTCCTAGATTTTACCTGATTTTTCACAACTTTATTTCTTAGAATTCAGGATATTCAAAAGCTTGAACTTCTTCACTGAAAGATCTTGCATGGGCTAATTGAACTGGACAAGTTGTAATATTTTAAAGGCTAGGAAAAGGACAGTCTGGTGCAGGGTGTTAAATCCCAGGCAGGTTGAAGAGGGCATGCATTTTGGAGAGTGGTGTGGCAGGGGGAGCAATGGTGGCTGCCCAGCATGGAGTACTGGAACACAAAAGAGTGAGGAAGGCATTCTTTTACCAATTGAGGGATGTTAAATCCTGAGTGGGTTGCAGTGGAGGAGGCTGAGCACACCTTTTTGGGGAGCTGCAGCGGCAACAACTTGGAGTAGCATATTGGAACTTGAGTACAGGGAGGAGGACACCTGGAGGAAGAGTTATGGGGTAATGATGCAGACAGCAACCTAGAATAAGATATTAGAACCTGTGTGAGGTGAGGAGGGTATTCACACTGGGGTATGGTTGTGGTGACAGGAGATTGGTTATATATATCAAATACAGACAATACCTCAGATATTGTGTGTTTGTTTCCAGACCACTGTGATAAAGGAAGCCATATGAATTTTTGGTTTTCTAGTGCATATAAAATTCATGTTCACATTATGCTGTAGTCTATTAAAGTGTGCAATAGCATTGTGTCTAAAAAGTACATACCTTAATTCTAAAAAGTAATAGAAAAATACTTTATTGTTAAAAAATGCTAATGATCATTTGATCCTCCAGCGAGTAATGATCCTTTTGCTCGTGGAGAGTCTTTTCTCCATGTTGATTACTGCTGACCGATCCAGAGTGATGGTTGCTGAAGGTTGGGGTGGCTGTGGCAATTTCTTAAAATTAGACTGTAATAAAGTTTGCCACATCGATCGACTGTTACTTTCACAGGTTTCTCTGTAGCATGTGATGCTGTTTGATAGCATTTTACCCACAGTAGAACTTTCAAAATTGGAGTCAGTTTTCTGAAACCCTACTGCTGCTTTGTCAACTAAGTTTGTATACAAGAGAGGACCCCCCCCAAAAAAAACTGGAATTATCTTTTGGAGGGCGGGCTCCTTGTGTACAGGCTTCCTCTGCTAGGTATCCATCAGCATCAGCGTGCAGCTAGCATTGTTGTGAAAGAGTGCGTTTGGCCTCAGTGAATTTTTTTTTTTTGGAGAACCTTTCAACATGTTACCCATTTCATGGTGGGTGATTTATGAGCACATCCGCCCACACCTTGCTGAGTGTTCAGCAGGTTTTGACCATAAATGGCATGACCCCCATTCCCCCCTTTGTCACCTGATCTTGCTCCAAGCGACTTTTTTTTTGTTTCCCTGGATGGAAAAATCGCTCAAAGGGAAACGTTTTGTTGATGTGGAAAAGATGAAACAAAAAATGTGGGAAGCACTAAAAGGCATCAAAATTGATGAGTTCAAAACTGTTTTGAGCAGTGGAAAAAGCTTCTTGCTAGCTGTATTGCATCCCATGGAGTGTACTTTGAAAGTGACTGAAGTTTAAACATGTAAGAAGAAATACACAACTTTTAAAATAAATAAATTCCAAGTTTTTGGCTCCCCTGTCCTATTTAGAAGAAGAGCATTTCAAGTCGAGTATAGGCATGAAGTACAAAGACCCTGAGGCACAGGCAGGCTTGGCTGGATCGCAAAGCTTGTAGGGGAGCTGCTGTGGTTACAGTGCAGTGACTGAGGGAGAGTGATCAGAAAAGTAGCCAGAGTCTTAGAGGTCACAGCAAGGACTCTGGCTTTTTCTTTAAGAATTATGAAACTTTTAGTAGAAGAGTGACACATTTTAAAGGGATCACTCTACTCTGCCTGCATTATGAAGAATAGCCTGCTTCCACTTGTGTAGGAGGTCAGAAGGTATTATTTGGTAGTCCAGGTGAAAATATTACAGAGGCTTGGACAAGGGTAGTAGTATTAGAGGTGATGAGAAGCAACTTGGTTTGGGGTGTTTTCTTCTACCAGTTTCGCTGAGGAGTCAAGGTTTTTGGCTTTGTAACTGGAGGAATGAAAGTGCCATTTACTGATGGGGACATGAAGATGAACAGTTTGGAGCTGGGGGAAGCTAGACTTGGTTAGTTTCAGATGCCTATTTGATAGCTAAGTAGAGATGTTGAGGAAATGGATTTGTGAGTCTGGAGTTCTGTGAAAGTTTGAGCCTTAAGTTAAAATTTGGGACATGAGTCAGGCTCGGTGGCTCATCCTATAATCCTGCGCCTTGGGAGGCTGAGGTGAGTGGATTGGCTGAACCCGCGGGTTCGAGACCCGCCTGGGCAACTTAGTGAGACCTCATCTCTACAATAAATCAAAAAAATTAGCCGGGCGTGGTAGCGTGTGCCTGTAGTTCCAGCTACTTGGAAGGCTGAGGCGGAAGGATTGCCGGAGCCCAGCAGGTTGAGGCTGCAGTGGCCGGGAGTGGCCACTGCACTCCAGTCTGGGTGACAGAGTGAGACTCCAACTCAAAAAAATAGATAAATAAAATAAAATAAAATTTGGGACATGACTTATTTAATTGTCAGAAGAAACTCTTAATACAATTAATACAGAATTACTTTTATTGCAGACAAAACCATATGCCATCGTTGAAAGGAAGCCCAGAGTATTTCCAGTAAGTCTTAAAACTTCTCTGATTTTTCTTGTGTTCATTATTTTTCTCTTTCATTTTCCTCCCCTTCTTAGTGATGATTAGATTAAAATGTTCCTTCTCACTGTCAGTTTAAGTGCATTCTTGTTAAAAAAGAGGAAATAGTGTGAGGTTGTGATTATATCTGAAATGGGGAGTGGGTGCATTATTTTCAGCCGGCAATAAAGCTTGTTTTGTGATCTTGATTGTCCTAAAGTGAGTTGAAAGCACCAACAAGTTTTCACTGGCATCTGTTTCATGTTAGGTAAAGGACTGTAGGGCATCAGTCTGAGAAGACACCTATGTGTGGTGACAGCAACTGAATGTCTGCTACTTTTTCCAAACTCTGATTTCCTATGACTCTGCCTTTTTTCAAGGTTTGACCTTAATCTCTCTGTGAATTTAAAATCTATTAATGTGTTTCAAATTTTATACTATGAATATGTAAGCTATAATACTAATTTAAAATGAGTTCTTTTAGCATTAAAAGTTACTCAGAGCCGGGCTCGGTGGCTCAGCCTGTAATCCCCCGCCTTTGGGAGGCTGAGATGAGTGGATTGCCTGAGCCGCGGGTTCGAGACCTGCCTGGGCAGCAAGACCTCATCTCTACAATAAATCAAAAAATCAGCCGGGCATGGTAGTGCATGCCTGTAATTCCGGCTACTTGGAAGGCTGAGGCGGAAGGATCGCTGGAGCCCAGCAGGTTGAGACTGCGGTGGCCAGGAGCAGCCACTGCACTCCAGTCTGGGTGACAGAGTGAGACTTCAACTCAAGAAAAAAAAAAAAAAAGAAAAGTTACTCAGTTGTCAACTGGTATTTTTACTGTATGTGAGGTTACTGTATAGCATAGTAAAATACATGTTATGTTCTTTTCTATTTTCTAGTAACACATATGATGAACTACTATATGATGAACTGCTATAACTCAAAGTTCTGTAATTAAAAAAAACAGCTTAGTGTGATTCCTGTTTTAATCAAATGACTTAGTCACAATAATCATTATCTGGTACAACAAGGAAATTTTAGTGAGAACCACCAAAATTGGTCAACCATCCCAGCTGCAACTCTGCTTTAATAAATAGTAGGGGGTTGCTTCTTTTATTTCATTGTGTAAACTTGTAAAATTGATGTATGTTGGGGCTTAGGTCGTCTCAAAATAGGAAATTAACTTGCTGGTTTCATCAGTTGAATAATTTTTTTTTTAGTCTTTTACTGTTCAAAGTAAAAGGTTCTATTCAGAAGACCGCTTCAGTGATTCCATAACACTTCTCATATTTCTGTATTTTTTACCACTGTTTTTTTTCCTCTTTCTGTGCCATATGACCCCTTTGAGAATCTTCCCTTTCAAAGAACTGAAGAATGCTCATTTGTACATGTGTTTTAGGATAAAATAGGTAGTAACAAACTTCCAAATCTCAGTGGCTTAACAAAACAAAGCTTTATTTCTTATCAACATCACAGTCTAGTGTGAATCAGGTGATCCTTCCTCTGTCTCATAGTTGTGCCTCTGGCATGTGAAGCCTCTAAGATTGTGATTGGTGAAGACAGGACTGGATATTTCAGTGGACTGTTTTAAGGTCTAAGCTTGGAAGTAGCGTACATCAATTATGCTCAAATGCTATTGGCTAGAACTCATTCTCATTGTCCCACATGGGTATGTGCTCTTCAGACTCCCATGCATGGAATCTCTGCCACATTTCTTCCTTCTAGTTACCACACAACTTTTTGCTTCCTTCTCCCCACACGTATAACACACTTAGTTAGTTAAGGAGAAATTCCAAAGAGCGGCATTCCATCATTACAACCAGCTCCAAACCCAAGATCTCCAGATGATGGACAATAGTATGTGAGGTTTAGATATGACTTCTTTTTATTTGAGGATCAGTGAACTAAAAAGGCAAGTTAACCTTATCCCTTGCCTCCCCAGTCACTCAGTGGTAGAATTTGGATGCCACAGCAGTCACTGGCTCTTGGCAATTCTGAATTCCTAGTAGTCACTCCCCCCCTTTTTTTTTTGGATTTGGAGTCTTACTCTGTCATCCAAGCTGGAGTGCAGTGGCATGCTTATAGCCATGACAGCCTTGACTTGCTGGGCTCAGGCGATCCTTTTGCCTCAGTCTTACAAGTAGCTGGAACTACAGGTGTGTGCCACCATGCCAGCTCATTTTTTATTTATTTTTTGTAGAGACAAGGTCTCACCAAGTTGCCCAGGCTGGTCTCGAACCTGTGGGTTCAGGCAATCCTCTCGCTTCTGCCTCCCAAGATGCTAGGATTATAGGCGTGAGCTACTGCTCCTAGTAGTTACTCCTAAACCCTATGTGTGGGAAGTTACTTGAATGGGCACTGATTTAGTTTTCTGGAGGCAACACCTTTGTTCATTGTTCTTACTGGTTCCTGGCTCATTCCAGGGGGTTCTTTCTTTTTCATTATCAATTGAGACCACATCTAAATGCTACTGGGAAGTATGCCTTCCTTAGGGGGTTGTACAGCCTTCAGAATCTGTTGCCTGCTCACAGAAGATTAAATGCCAGAGGTTGTTTTAATTCAAACATTTGTAGGATACTGTAGACTGTATGTTTGGTTTCTCAGCATCTGGTAGATACAGAAAGAAAAATATTTGGTAGTTTTTGCTTCTAGTCAGTTCCTGATGTCGGTATCTGTTCTTTGTATACATAGTTATCAATTTTTCTCATTTCGTTGTCCTCATGTATCTGCCTCTTTGATTTTAGTGGCAGCTATGTGGAGACCATTTGAGACAGACTGGTTAAAAGACTACCTTCACTTTAGTGTGACCTTTGCCATAGGGCTGAGCCCATTTACTTAGTTCTATTGAGCTTCTGTCGCTCAGAATCTCTTAACACTTACTGCTTAGGGAGTAAGAGGGAATCTGATTTTCTAATACCACAAGGTCCTGAATATTTAGATTCTCTTCATTTTTAAATTTAAAAAAAATCTGGGGGGACCAGAAATAGAGATTCTCCAGTGCGGACTGAAGGAGCTTTCTCTTCCCCTCCATTTTTTGTCTTCTCTCAATTCAACCACTTCTCACCTGAGCTCATGCTTCTTAAAGTACATTCTCAAGGCAGCCAGTAGTATCCAAACATATAACAGCTCTTTTCTTCTGGAACCTTGAGTTCATTAGGCAGTCTGCTTCCAGATTATTATAGGAGACATTTTGCCAAATAGTTTGCCCTTGCCTCCCCCCCATCTTTTAGCCTCCTGTGTCTATATCTTTGCTACCAGACTGCTGAGCCACTGCTCCATAGTTTGATTTTTATTATAGAAGCATTAGTACCACTTCAAGGCACTAATTTTTGTGTTAAGGTAATGCTAGCTGTGGTAACAAATTGTCCCTCAGATGTATAATGGCTTAAACATAATACAAGTTTATTTCTTCATGGCATAACAATCCCGAGCAGTACCCAGGTCAGAGGATGGCAGGGGTGGGGATAGTTCTACTCTGCTCAGTCAGTCATGGACTTTCACGCTGACAGAAACTATTTGTTTCATCACATGGCTGAAATTGAAGCTAAGTAGTCGGCATAAAATTACACAATTTGTCAGTGGAGGTTCCAGGATTCTCACTGTTTGGTTCTGCCTTTCATACCCTTTCAACCACATACTGTTATCTAGGTTTGAAAAGACACCTGGACCAGTTGACCAGCCTAAGTTAGTATTCTGTATTCAATATGTAAGCCAAACAAAATTGGTGATTGCTTAACACATTCAGTTGTTGGGAATATATTACCTCCTTATATTGAACTGGAGATGTTTCCTTGCAACTTCTTTCTAGGGCTTCTGTTTCTTGGGGCCATGCAAAGTCAAGATGATTACTTTATCACTTGGAGAACACAGCTTTTGTGCCCTTTCTGGTTATTTTGTTTCTGAGTGCAGATTTCCCTATTATTTCACTGTACCTTAAGATTTAGAATACTGGTTGCTTATCTTTAGACAGCTTCTACTTTGTCTAGGTCCCTTTTAAAGTGAATGGCAGATGCTTTGGCTCACGTCTGTAATCCCTTGGGAGGCAGAGGCAAAAGGATTGCCTGAGTCCAGGGGTTTGAGACCAGCCTGGGCCACTTGGGGAGACCTTGTCTCTACAATTTAAAAAAAATTAGCTGGGCGTGGAGGCATGCGCCTGTGGTTCCAGCTACTTGGAAAGCTGAGGCGGAAGGATCACCTGAGCCCAGCAGGTCGAGGCTGCGGTGGCTGTGAGCATGCCACTGCACTCCAGCCTGGGCAATAGGATAAGACTCCGACTCAAAAATACATAAAATGGCAGAGTTCAACTAGATTTTCCATATGAAGTCAAGATTTTTCTACTAATTGTATCTTCTTTTCCTAGGGTGATACAATTCTGGAGACTGGAGAAGTAATTCCACCAATGAAGGAATTTCCTGATCAACATCATTGAAGATTACATAAAAATTTCAAAGGCTTATGAGCCCAAGTTTGTTCCTGCATTACTGTATTTACTGAATGCATTTTCTGGAAAAGTAACTTTAATAAAGTTTACTCTCAGAAATGTGTCACTTTTCTTCCCAAACATTGTACAATTTGAGGCTCTTTGAATAACTTAACAATAAATAAAAACTGAATATGCTAAACAAATTATATGAGCAACGACCTACACTTTTTCTGGCCATTCTTGACTTGGAAAACAGGATGTAGAAAAGTATTCAGTTAAATGATAATTTCTTTTTCCTTCCACAGTACTTACTCTAATTTGGTGTGAAGGTGTGCAGCAGGGTGAAATGTTGCAACAGACAAATACAAGAACACAAATTCATGCTTTTTTTTTTTTTTACAGAAAGTTTTCTGAGGCATCTTAAAAGAAGTAATTTAGAAACTTGGTTGAAAGCTTGTCATTCCATCTGTGATCTGCTAACTCAAAGGCTGTCAGATCTAGGTTGCATTTCATTTTGTCATATGAGAATAGGAAAAGACTAAGACCTCTTAAGTATTTGGGAAATTTGCACATAGTGTTTATTATAAAGGACTGTGCAAAAAACAAATTTGGGAACACAGTATTATGAATTTTATTTTCAAGTCTACATGGTTGTTAAATAAGCATGAGGGAAAGAACTACGTTTGCAGAGAATGAGCTCCAGAGGGGTTACAAATTTTCATTCATCCGAAGATTCTGTCTGGGTATCTCTTCCTCAGCTCTCGTCTTGCAGCTACCGTGGATGCATAGATGACGTATCCCCAGGAAAGTAAAACGATGGCAAGCAGCAACTACAAAAGCCGCAAAGGCGAAGCAACACAATCAGAGTCTGCTACCTCCCCTCGCACAGGTGACCGCGGGCCATTGCTAAGGTGGGAATGCTAGCGACAGACGACCAGAAACCGGGTTCCGGAGGCGGGTACGCCCCGCCGCCCTTACGTAAGAAGCGGAAGAGCGTATCGTCCAGGAAGAGGCGGAGTCGAGGCGAGGGAGTGAAATGCTTAATTCAGGGATGGATTTTGGAGTTTCTGGGCGCTGAGGAGCTGGGGCCCCTCCGCCTGCGGGCCCCGTGAGCCGACACGGTGGAGCCCCGCCAGGCCCCGCACCTACCATCGAGTAAATCCAGTCCAGGGTGCGACGACTCACGGGCTTCATGGTAAGGGGGTGGCGGCGGCGGTCCGCGGGAACAGGCGGGAGCTGCGGGCCTTACAGAAACCTCCCAGGCGGTGGCTGCCGGGCGGCAGCAGCCATCTTTCGGCCGGGCGCGAATGCCCGCCCTCGGGCTTCCAGGAGCGCTTTCTCCGTCCTCTTCCGCCCGGAGTTGGGGGCGGGTCACGTGATGGGGGAGTCGTCCCAGCCCGCCTTTTAGGGAGGGAAGGAAATAAGCCAGAAAATGCTAAAAATAGCTTTTCCTTTTGCCGCCTAGAGTGTGAGGCGTGCCCCCTCGACTGGTTTCCCTTACCAGTTGCAGTATTAATGCAGAATAACGTGCCGTTCGTGCGTTTAAAAGTTTGAGAAACGGTCCACGTTTTGAAGCTTACCTCGGCGTCTAACGCTGGAAGAATTAACGTCTCCCTCCCCGCATCTGTTCCCACTCGATGTAGTCAGACGTTCGTCTGTTCGTAGCACCATTTTATATAAGGGTGACAAATCGTTGTGGGAGTCCCTGCTCCTTGCGCCTTCCGAGAAACGTAGTTTTTGAGAACGCAGTGGCTTGATGATGCAAGTCAAACGTCTAAGAAAAACTACGTGGCTCGTGTTCCCCGCCATAACGTCCCGGGCGATCAACAAGTGTGGAGGCTGTGTGATGTGCTCGGAACGGCGGCGCGTGTGGAATATCAAGCCCCGAGCGCGGTCGTTGGGCGGGCGAGCGCCCCGCGGCCAGCCCTGGAATGTTAGGGCCGCTCACCTTGGAGACCTGCGTGGCGGAATCTGGCCGAGGGCCGCTTTCGGCTCTCGTGTCCTCTCACTTTACACCCCAGGTCTCCCTTCAGCGTCTTCATTCGGATTTCGAGGCGTTGTGGGAAGGGGAAAAGCGGAGGAACACGGGACGTGTTTGGGGGACAAGGTCCCTCCTGTTCCTCCCCAGACTTTGTCGGATACTCGTTGGGCTCCGAGTTCGGATCCCACTCGAATCCTGGTGTTATTTCTTAGCGGCACTGCAGAGGTTCCCGCCTCTGTGCCCCAGAGATAATTTCAGTAACTACTTGCAGAGTTTGGGTGAGGTTTAAATAAGATCGAGTCGTGTGTGTCTTCCAGGTAAGTTCGCCCCGTACCCCCAGCAAAGAGTGATAACTAGATAGTGATAGTGATGGTAGGGATGGGTGCCTGGGAGGGGCCTGCTCCCCTCGGGCCCGGGGTGGCGCCGTGGGGGAAGGGCCCGGGCGCTCTCGGCCCCTCCCTCGGTGCCGGCGCGCGTCTACCCCGCATGCGTTGCGAAGGCGGGTGTTGTGTTTTGACGCGCCGGGAGCCGGGAGGGGGGCGGGTCTCGCGCGCGGCCCCGCCCCCAAGCTGCCATTGGTCACGAGCGCTATACGTCACAGGGTTCGCAGCAGCAGCCGCTGGGGTCCCCGCTGTCTCGCGAGGAGGGTGAAGCCCCCCCTCCGGCTCCCGCTTCGGAGGGTAGGCGGAGAAGTCGTCGGGTACGCCTTCGCGGATCCTGCCGCCACCGACCCAGCTTTCTGGGCCGTCGGGAGCTTACGGCGAGCGCCCCGGCCGGGCCAGCGTCGGCATCTTCCGAGGTGAGTGAGATACGGAACAATAGGGCGCGGGGGTCGGGAGGGCTGGCGAGCCGGCGCTCCTGCCCGGGGGGAAGGCCCAGGAACCCGGGGCTGCGGTCGCGGCCTGCGGGTCGCCCGGGCCTCCGCGGGCAGGGCCTGTCCCGGCGGGCGGCTCCTGCGGCGCACCTGTGGATCCGTGCTGATGGGCGGGCGGGGGCTGCATCTCCTGGAAGCGCTCCCGAGACGCGCGAGCCTGGCCGCGTACTGGAAAGAGCTCGGTCTCTGGGAAGAACAAAACCAGACAAAAAACGCAGAGACGGAATGGTGGCGTCGTCACTCCCTGGGTGTGTGACCTTGGTTGGGTCCCCGAAACCTCCGAGTCTGTCTGTAAAATGGGAATGACAGTCCGAGTTGGCTGTGGTTATGTAATGCACAGGGCGCCTCCCCTAGGTCTTGGCTGGTGGCAGTTCTTAATAAAGGAAGCGACTGTCACCGCGACTGTTGGACTTGGCTGTGTCGTGGTGCACGTTCTGCGCCCGGCTTGCTCGTCTGTGACTTCTTCCGCCATCCAGTTAGTGCAGCTTTCCCTGTTGGCTGCTGATGTGTAGACTGGAAGGGGGCGGTGCTGGGAGAAGGGAATAGCCCTTTTGATAGGTAATTCTCAAGATTATCTAAGATACATTAAGAAACAGCCACCTAAGGCTAATAGTAGGGATTTGTTTTGTTTTTGTTTTTTTGGTCCATGAAATGCAAAGCTATTCAGTCAGTCAAAAACAATCATGATTATCTGGAATGAGTGGCTTTAGGGGGAAGCAGTTCCCAAGCAGTTCCTTTTTCTTTTTTGAGTTGGAGTCTCACTCTGTTGCCCAGGCTGGAGTGCAGTGGCACGCTCACGACCACCCCAGTGTCGACCTGCTGGGTTCCGGAGATCTTTCTGCCTCAGCCTTCCAAGTAGCTGGAACTATAGGCGCACCCTACTACGTCCGGCTAATTTTTGATTTATTATAGAGACGAGGTCTCGCTAAGTTGCCCGGGCTGATTTTGAACCCATGAGCTCAGGCAATCCACTTGCCTCGGCCTCCCAAAGTGCTGGGATTACAGGCTAAGCCACTGAGCCCTGCCTCCAAGCAGTTCTTTTTATTGCTGGAATTGAAATTAAGTTTGATAGTAACGGGTCCATCCTATAACTTTTGTGTCCACTTTGGAAATTGGTGATTGAACTGCAGTTTAGAAAGGTATAGTGGTTTAACTTTATTTTCACATAACATACAGGAAAAGGGTTGAGTTCTTACTGTGCACCAAGCACTGTGTTAAAGGTTTTCATGGAACATGTCCCTTCACAAGAACACCTTTTCAGATGGGGACTCCTATTTATCCCATTTCAAAATTGAGAAAATTTGCAAGTTTGAGAAATAACTGCCTCCAAATCACACAACTAATAAGTGGTGGTAAATCTCATTCTTGGCTCTGCATTAGAATTAACATCATTCCCTCAAATGTAATAGGCAGGTGATTCAGTTTTATATACAGTGAATATCATGACTTTTATAGGAAGTCTGACTTCCTGACTATACAGAGCAGTCCTACGTCATTGTGCAGTTTTCAGATGTCCATTCTAGGACTGGACATAGATTCCAACCTCCTGATTGCTTGTCTCTCCCATCCATATTCCTCAGATATGTGTGTTTCTATCTGAAATTTTCCCAGATTGTGACTTGAAGGGTTCTTATCCTTGTTAAAACCAGATCTGAAGATTTTGGAAAGGGAAGGGTTGGCTTAATAAGTTTATCCTGAAGATGGAAAGCTTTTTACTTGGGATTTGGGAGGAAGTGGGATCAGAAGAACTTATCAATCATCTCTATGAGGAAATTGACTTACAGTTATAATTCCTAGAGTGCTAGGGTAGAGAAACCTTTACACAGGCTTTTTCTAGAACCTGAAGCACTGTCTACCATTAGGTCCACCTTTACTACCTAAATTTAGTACCTCTAGCAAATCTTCCATTCTTAATCTGTCTTTTAGCTGTCTCAGTTTTTATGCCTTAATTTGTATTTTTAAACAGTTTTGTTGAGATTTAATTTACATTCCATCCATAAAGTTCATTTGTTTAAAGCATATAGTTCAATGGTTTTTGGTATATTTACAAGAGTTGTGCAACTATCACTATAATTTAGTTGTAGAACATTTTTATCAACCCAGAAAGAAACCTCACTTCTGTCCCAGCAAGCACCAGTCTATTTTCCATTGCTATAGATTTGCCTATTCTAGGTGTTTCATATAGATAGTAAAATATAATATGGTCTTTTGTGAGTAATTGTTTTTTCATTTAGCATAATGAAAAAGTTCATCCAGGTTGTAGCATATGTCAGTACTTCATTCCTTTTTATTGCCAAATTATATTCCATTGTATGAACAGACCACGTTTTATTAATCATTCATCAGCTG